CTATCCAATAAGAACGCAAATTACTAAATTACAGCCAATTCGGTGAAAAAATCCGGTCAAAACCCCTCAAAAACTGGAAATTTGCAGGTACCCTTATATGGGAGCTACCAGAAAAAGTGGACCTTTATTTATAATTTTTATTGGGAAAATTTTGTGCCCAATAAGAACCACATGTACCAAATTTCAGCGAATTCGGGTTAAAACCGCGCTCAAGAACCCCAAAATACCGAAAATTGTGGGTACCCTTATATGGGGGCTATCCGAAAAAATGGACCTATATTTATAATTTTTAGTATAGAGATTTGCTACCCAATAAGTACTCAAAGTACCGAATTTCAGCGAATTCGGTCGAAAAATGCGATCAAACCCTCCAAAATACCGCAAAATTGGAGGTACCCTTATATGGGGGCTATCCGAAAATATTGATCCATATTTATAATTTTTAGTGGAGAGATTTGCTACCCAATAAGAACTCAATGTACCAAATTTCAGCGAATTCAGTTGAACAACGCGCTTAAGAACCTCAAAATATCGAAAATTGGGGGGTACCCTTATATGGGGGCTACCCGAAAAAATGGACCTATGGACATAATTGTTTGTAGAGAGATTTCGTACCTATTAAGAACTCAAAATACTAAATTACAGCCAATTCGGTGGAAAAATACAACCAAAACCCCCAAAATACTGAAAATTAGGAGGTACCGTCATATGGGGGCTACCAGAAAAAGTGGACCTATACTTATAATTTTTTGTGGAGACATTTAGTATCCAAGAAGAACCTAATGTACCAAATTTCAGCGAATTCGGCTGAAAAACGCGCTCAAGAACCCCAAAATACCGAAAATTGGGGGTACCCTTATAGGGAGCTATGCCTAAACGTGGACCGATATATCTCTTCTTCGAACTTTACCTGCCTGCAGACAAAAGACAACCCTATGCAAAATTTTAGCACTCTATCTCAATTCCTGCAGAAGATAGCGTGATTACAACAGACGGACGGACAGACGGACGGACATGGCTAGATCGTCTTAGAATTTTACCCTGATCAAGAATATATATACTTTATAGGGTCGGAAATGAATATTTTGATGAGTTACAAACGGAATGACAAAATTAATATACCCTCCATACTATGGTGGAGGGTATAATAAGTGTACAACGTGACTTTGATCTGCGTGTATTATAATTGATTTGTTTATATAGACGAAGTGCATCCTAACAGTGCACTTTTACGAATTTTACTGTTTATATGTATGCTCTACATATTTACCGTCTATTACGGACGGCCACATTAGTTGTTCTGTTTTTATCAGAGTGTGATAAAAACATACGAAAGCATTTGTGGATGTCATACAAGTAGGACTGTAACATCTAAAAGAGAAACACAACGAAGTGAATGATTTCAAACACGGATTATATTCCACAGAAAATGTTACGTGGACGTTATAACAGTTGTATAACAGTTTCACTAATATTCACCAACAATTATTGTGGATTGTAGTTGACTTACATAAAAGTTATATATAACATTTATGTGTGAGATTTGTTAATTTTCTAGGTCAGGCCAGAGGGCGAAGCCGATGTAAAATTCTCGGCGGCGGCGGCTAAGCATAAAAAAGTCGGCGGCGGCTAAAAGTCGACTGCAGCCGAAAGAAAATCGGCGGCGGCGGCTAAAGCAATATACGGCCGGCGGCGGCTAAAAGTCGGCTACAGACGACGACTTTAACGTGAACAAATAATTTCGGTTGTTTTAATAACTGTCAATTCATTTAATTTAAAATAAAAATGAAAATATAAGTTTATATGCACATTTGTTGCTTATAGCACATTAAAAATTAATAAAAATACTTTAATTTGATAAAAATGGTTCGACGACTGCCTTGTTATCGTGAACAAACAATTGTTTCTTTACTGTTGCCGGATGCAGGCTGCTTCTCTTTGCATTTACACAATTCCCGGCATATGAAAATGCTTGCTCTGAAGATGCTGATGTGGCTGGAATTCCAAAGCACATATTTGCTACAGCAGCAACATTTGGAAAGATCTATAAAAAGTAAATGGTCAGAACGTAACCTGCTTAAAATAAGTTTAAGATGTGAATCTTTAACGTACTTGTTTGTTCTGTCGCCACCAATCTAGAGGCTCAACCGCCTCGACTTTCATTTCCAAATATTTTCTTATTTCTAACTCTACGTTATTTTGTACATTAGAAGGCGATGGTCCCATAAATTCCAACATTCTTTGACGACTAGCTGATATTTTCTGCAAGTAAAATATACGTTAGTTAAGTTTACCTTTACATTTATTAAAACATAATACCTGTTTTTTTGCATTTGGTTCAGTGCTCGTTGATGGCTCATTTAATAATGTGTCATCGATTTCCTTTAATTTTTCAATTTCTTCCATAATCAAGTTCTCCTTGGAAATTGGAGACAGAACATCATGCACAAGTTCCAAGGAGTTTGGCGATTGTTTGGGTATCTGTAGTATATATTTATCTAAAACAGGCCAGTTTTTTTGGCATGGGTCCATAAGCGCAGCTACAACATACATTCTATATACTTTGAATCGCTTCGTAAAGTTTTGCACAGCGAAATTGCATAAATTGATTGTTAGTTCAAAAGACGCTTTTTCTTCTTCTTTCTTCAATGAGGACATAATGGATTCCTGAAAATAAATACACGAAGATATCGTCGGATAATCTTGGCCTTGAAGGTGTTTTGTGGCGTCCTCAAAAAATTTTTAAAACGTGCCAAATTCCGTTATAATTTGCATTTCCATTGTCCCAATCACTAACAGTTCCTTTTTAGCTTTAACTAATGCTATATTTATAGTGGATATATTATTCGTATAGCTTTGAATCATTGCAAGCAGAGAGTTCCAACGTGTTGCAACGGAATTTTTCAAAGAGGTGTGGTGCTTGACGTTTAAAGTTGCTTCATATTGTTCAGTAAAATAGTCATCTCCATGTGGAAATTGTTCGCAACTATCCAAACTCTCCAAAATTATTTCAACCTCTGTAAATATTTTTACTAAATCTTTTTGTTCCTCCATATTTTGAATATTTGATATTTCTTCATAGCTATACATTAAGCTGCCATAAATTTTTTTTAATTTTGATATTATGTTATTAATATTTTCAAATGACTTGTTGTTTAGTATATCTTCCATCAAAAATCTGTGTAAAACATGAGCCATACAACCATATCTTGGTATATTTTTAATTTTTAAAGCTGAAACGATGTTGCTTCCACCATCAGTAACAGCACATATGTTTTTTTCCAACAGATTAAATTCACATAAAGCTTCTTCAATTTTTTCTACAACTGCTAGTCCAGTGTGAGGTCGTGGAAAGATCTCTGTCTTGAGCGTTACAATTTGCATTTGAAAATTTTGGCAGAAATGCACTTTTATGTTTATGTAAGACAAGTGCTTATGTTTATCTGACCACATATCCAATACAAGTGTAACATTTTCGGGCGACTCTTTAAGGCTTGTTTTTACGTGGTCCAAATATATGTTATAAACATCGTTTAAAGCCGTTGTAGCTATTGTCCTATCTGTGGGGAATATAGCCTTTGGGTTTAAGAAAGATACCAATTTCTTAAATCCTGGCCTTTCAACAATTTTAAACGGTTGCAAATCCCAACAGCACATTTCGGCGACCCGGCGAGCATTTTGTTGTTTGTTGTTACAACTTGTTGAGGATTTCAATGCATTTTGTGTCATTGTTGAACTTTTCAGGTTATTTAAAGATTTCACGTCCAAGTTATGTACAGCTCGTAGATGGTTCATATAATTTGTGGTTGATGTTGATTTTCCAAAACAAAATCATACACACACATGCGAATGGAAAAAATTAGAAATTCTTACCTTTTTAAATTGGTCTTTTCATCCAAACACAATTTGCAAAATTTATATTTTTGAAGTATATGCCTCTTTTTAAAATAGAGATCACCAAAATATTTCCAACACAATGATATACCACCTTCATTTACAACAACCTTTGCCAAATTTTTAAATTCATTTTTCTTTTTAAAAAGATCTTCATATTGAGATACATCTGCATATTGAGAAATATTGATTTCAGTATCAACAGATTCGTCAGAATCGGATTCTGATTTAGTCAAAACTGTTTGACCCTTTCGGTTAGCGGAAAAATAATTTTTAATATTCCTTTGGCACATTTTGCATTCTTTTCTTTGAACAAGCAAAAACACAACGAATCTTTGGCAAACAATATGGTTGCCACTCCATCAAAATTCGTAAGTTACAAAAGGTTGCCAAAGGTTTTGTGATAAAAAAAAAACAAATCTACAAAGACATAATACCCTTACCACTATGTGCTGTAGGGTATAATTAATATAAATAGCCTACACGTTTTTGCCTCTCGAAGACGAGTGCACAATGTAAATTATCGTCCAATAATGAGCATTATAATATGTTAATTTATCGATAAGATTAAAAGACATATTTATACAAATTTGCTGTATAAATTTATATTTTTCAACGGCTTAGCCGACTCAGTCGGCTAAAAATTTGAGCCGATGAGAGCCGCATACATCAGCGGCGGCTCAGATCACTTAAAAAAAGTCGGCGGCGGCTGCACGCCGACTGCGAGCCGATCGGCTTCGTGCTCTGACACTAAATTATTACTGCAAAGCAAACGTTTGGCTCTCTGAGAGTCAGAGAGGAAACATATATTATTGTTATTTTTGTAAATAAAATTATTATTAATTTTCATTTATTCAATGCAAAATCCTCCCCATGCTTTACGCCATACGTTGCATTGTGAGTGACATTAACGCCTTACCTTCATTGTTTTGTTTTTAACGCCGTTATTTAACAAAGCTTCAACGGCATGGGCTTTCCCTTTGGCCAATTTATAAAGGTAGAAAGTCAATCAAAATCTTCTGCGGGAAGTTGTAATTGAGCGATAATCTGTGATATTAGCGACCTTAATCGATTGATTAGATTAAGAAAAAAGAAATATTCTAACTATGGATAAACTTAAATACATACTAAAATCTTATGAAACATGGGTTTGCAAAAACCCAGATACTGTCGGGGACTTTGAGACAACAGCAAAATGGGCCTCATATTTTGTTGCAGGTGGGTGAAATTCATGTTTTTTATCTTTATTACAAACAAATCTAATCACTTAATCCCGTTTATAGGTCGCATAACAGATTCCTCCGTGGCCACAGAATTGGTATATTCCCTCTCCAATTTACTTGTAATGTATAATGATCGCATTATTGCCAAATATCGTCCAGAAATTGCAAGCATCAACGATTGCAGCATTGCCGAACCCACAAACAGTGTCTGCTATCGTCTAAAGGTCATGTTGACCACATTAGAATACTGTGAAGTTTTCATTGAAATATCTGCCAAGAAATTATTTGGTAATAAGGGTAAATGGATACTGGTAGCCTTCTTGCAATGTTTGAAGGCAGCTGGAAGATTTTTCATTTTAAAACATTCCACAGAACGTATTATCACTACACCGGCCCTACCGGTATTGAATAGAAAAAAATTATCCAAGAAAAATAATGCTGCTGCAACAACATCAACAAATCAACTATCAATGGATGAACATAGTGTAACCATTAAGTTGAAACGTTCCGGACGTATTATGCGTAAGGTGGAAGGTGCTCCACCGTTGCAATATCGTAGTTTTAAGCTACAGGAAGAAGTTATGAGTGTACAAAACCAACATCATCCCAAAGGGTTGTTACAGGCGGAATATCTCTATATAGCCAAGCCATTGATTCACCTAGCATCGATGGGTGTATTTGGTGAAAAATCCTGGAAGCAATTATTGGTATCATTGGCTGTCGATGTGACCAGCATTAAAATGTATCACAACAATCGTCAGCATATGTCCAAGGAACAGCAGCGAATACTATCACATCGCTGCCTCAATTTGTGTATGTATTTAATGCGTTCACCATTCTATGAACGTTTTACACAATCCCGTCTCGAGGGTCTTCTCAATTTACTTGCGAAAATTCCAATTGCCAAAATGATGGCTGGTCCACTGAGAGATTATATACCCCACTGGCAGGCAATGTATTTCTATATGTGGTCGACGTAAAACCAAAAGTAAAATAACAATTTATTATAATTTTTAAATTTTATATTAGATAGTAGCATAGTCGTAATTTTGATACCGTATAGCAACAAGTAAATTTGGGGAAAGGAAGGTTCTGAAATGATGTTATATATTTTTTATAAATTTTTATTAGAATATGCTTAAGTTCAAAACGGTATATTGTTTTTTTAGTTATTTTATACGAACGATTTCGACTGGATTACCATTAATAAAAAATATTGAAATTTTATAAAAAAAAATTAAAAACTATTTAAGTGTGTCTTTGTATCTTTTAATTTCATTGTAAAGGATAGCAAATGTCTGATGTTATTATGAACTAAGTTTTGTAAAAAATATCTTGAGAAATATTCAAGGTTGGATATTTACTAACAAATATATAAGCTTAAAGAAAACTAACAATAATTATTTATTAAAATGGGTTAATTTTGGACAGGACCAACCTATTAAAAATCTTAACGATGCTAACGATTTTTTAAAATATTTTTTTCTAAATCTATATTATTTACAGAAGTGAATTTTTTAAAACTAATTTTTCAGAGGTGCATTTTAGATTTTTTTTTAAATAATTCTTTCAAGGCGTAGATTTTTTAAATAATTTTTTCATGTCGTAGATTTTTTAAAATATTTTTTTCAAGGCGTAGACTTTTTAAAATAACTTTTTCAAGGCGTAGATTTTTTAAAATAATTTTTTCATGTCGTAGATTTTTTAAAATACTTTTTTTAAGGCGTAGATTTTATAAAATATTTTTTAAAGGTGTAGATTTTTTACAATAATTTTTTAAGGAGTAGATTTTTCAAAATAAAGTTTTCAAGGTGTATATTTTTTTAAAATTATTTTTTCAAGACGAAGTTTTTTTTTAATTATTTTTTTAAATGCGTATATTTAAAAATAATTTTTCCAATGCCATTTTGACTGTCAATCTCCTTGATTATATGCCAAATAACATTATTATTTAATTGCCAAAGTGTAAACTGTTAATTTCCACCAAACCAAATATATTTAAGGAAATTGATAAATTCCCTTGGACGTTGTGAAGATAAATTATTTCCTGGCTTGTGGTTGTGAACGAAGGGTGTTTTGACAAAGAGACAACGACGACGTCGAGACACATCCAAACGAAACAGAAGAAGAAGAAGCATCTCGCAACCCTCCATTCAAGAGCATTCCTTTTTGGAAATTTGTGGAAATTGCAAAATCATTTGGATTTTTTGCAAAACCAAACAAAATTGTTTTGGAAGTATTGCCAAACAAAAAGAGATCGTATAAGGAATTATGTCGGGCAGCGAGGATGGTCAATTACGTAGTCCCACAGATGCCCATATGTTTAGGTGAGTACTCATAACCCCATAATTTTTTTTCGTTTCGTTTCTTGTTCGTCGTATATATATCTATATATCCAATAGCTCTCTATATCTGCTTTAATGTACTGCAATGCAACTACCTACCACCTAGTGGCGGAAAGCATGATTGTGGAAGGCGGCCTTCTTTTTCTTT